TGATGTAATTTGCTTCGGTAGTCGATTTTGCGAAAGATAGCCATTCCCAGTCTCAGACAAACATGCCTGGCCTTTGTTATTTTTCTACTGATATTGATACACGCTATTCAAGACTTATGATACCCCTACTTTTTTCTGGGCGATGAACTCACTTGAGTAAAACACTAGGAGGCGCATTATTGTTTCCGGTCAGGGGCTAAGAGCGCGGGATGCCTTCCGGCTGCCATTTTGGCGGCAGGGGAGCGGGGTCCCCTGGTCGGCCCTGAGGCCCTTAGACAGGGGCATTATATCACATTGGTCCCCTCCCTGACACGGGAAGCCTTCTGACCCGCGCAGTTGATCTCGGATCGACGCAGGAACCGTCATTGACGCAATAAGATCCCTAATCGCCGCAGGTGGTTCAATAATTGGCACATAAATTCTTGTTCGGATAAACGGAGCCACGGCTGAAATTGGGATGAAGGGCGCACTGTTCGTACTGGGATGACTGACACAAGACCCTGCCATGGTCTCGATGTGAACTCTCACCATAGGGCCTTATGGTTTCCTTCATGGAAAGATGGTCTCGACCAACGCAAGATGCCCCCTAGCATTCGGGTCCCGTCCCTGTTCATTAAATGCTCCCCTGACCAACCCGAGGCCCCTTGTTAACACAAGACACCCTACCACGCACTATGGGCCCTGGCCGCTACGGGAGCCCCGCATTGTTGCAGGGGCCTCAACTGATGTGAATCGCGGACCCAGCCGAGTCCCTGCTTGGGTGATGGGCCTCCAAAGCTCAGGCCGACTTGGAGCCGTGTGGAGTGCTCTGTTTCGGGGGCCCCAATCGAAGCAAGAGAGCCTCGAACTGACGCCTGAAGTCACGGCCCTACGGCGGGAGTCGTTAATGTAAGCTACAGTCAGCCCTTCGAGCCCTTTTACTCTCCAATCAGGCCCTTGATCGTCAGTTCTGGTGGGCCGCCCGGGCCCCTCTTCAGGCCTCTTCGAACACTGCCTTTGGTCGGCTCTGGCCCCTTGCGGACAACGGACCCACCTTAAACAATGTGGGCCTATGACATATACAGGACCTCGACTACTGTAAATTCCTGGCCCCTGCTTTGTAGCTGCTTGGCAAGTGGGCCCTGAGGCTCATATCGACAAGGAGCAGACTGCGCGTTACTTGTGGTGTTTAACCAACATATAGGCCCTCATCGACTCAGGGGGTCCACGATCGGTGCAAAGTGACCCCTGACTGTCATTTGAGAGCCCGTCCCCGAGGACCGGTGACCCCGAATAAAACTCCGGCTAACCGTTCGTGCCCTAAGGCCCCCCAATCAGCCCTTGATCGTCGGTCCCGGTGGGCTCTCCAGGCTCCCCTCGGGCCTCTTCGAACGCGCTGCCTCTGGCCGACTCGGCGTCCCTTGCCAACACAGGGGCCATGCTAAGCACTGCGCGCCCCTGCGAGACAGTGGGGCCCCGATCAACGTGAATCGCTGGACTTGGCTTTGTCCCTGCACGGAAAATGGGTCCTCAGACCCATATTGATACAGAGCCGACTGTCTGGTACTGGTGGCATCTGAACCGATATATAGACCTTTATCGACTCCGAGGCCCCAATAAGCGCGAGCCCTTTAAATAAAAGCCCTTTGGCTGGCATTGGAGTGCCAGCCTGCGAGCCGGGCCTCTGAATACAACCTCTGGGCGGCCTTTTGGGCTCTTGATCGTCGGTTCGGGCTCCTCGGAACCTAAGGGGTGGGGGGAAGAGCCCCATTTGACCCCACCTTGCCTGCGCCACCACAGGAGACTGATGACTGTGCTGTTCACCGAGAGCATGAAACGCTTGTTGTGTGTGCTACTTTTAATAACATTTCAGATAAGTATGCCAGCATTGTTAGTGTAGTGCTATGACTTGCATGTTCCACGTTGAAAGCAAAACCGTTACGCATGAAAAGCTTTAAAAAGTACGATCTCATACCAACATGAGCGTATCCTAACAACACCTTATCCGTGTCACTATTGCGAAACTGAGCGGGGTATCAACGCTGCCTCATACCTGCAACCACGCATAATTTGGAAACACAAAAAAGAACATGAATCGAACGGAGCAGATCGGTCTAAGTGAGGTTCAGTAGAGTACATAACAGGGCCAGTGACCAAACCGCACTTGTGAGCGCGCGCCTGCAAGGGCTATTGATCGCAGCGTACAGTCATCTAGGACGGTCCCAGGTGGCTTTTCGTTCAAGCACAGAACAACACCAGTCGGGACGAGGCCCGAGTTAGTACCTCTGTCAATCAATGCTTGCTCGTAATGGTATGGCTTCGGACACAAATGCCCGCGTTTGCGTGTACCGCAACACTCGCCTTATTATGCTGCGCATTTATTTCCAGCCGGCAGGCGACGCAACAGCCAGTGGCCGACTGAGAGGTGAGAGAGGCCCGAGGACGTAGCCAAGGGAGGGGGGGGGGGGGGGTCCAAAGGGGAAGTGCCCCTTTGGCACTTGGCCTTGCTTCCGTGCCCCTTCTGCCCTCTCTGAGCCAAGGGGCTCACACCAGATACTGGGCGATTTCACACGAATTTTGTCCCGGCTTACATGCGAAAATTCAGCATTTGAACCTCTGGGAAAAATCTTGACTACGTGCTTCAGAGGCTCTTCCGCACGGAGCGCGAGAAATCGTAGAAGGACTAAGTTACTCCAGAGTAGGCCGCTATATGGTCAAAAGGAGGCCTTTTCGGATTGGGGGTGATGTGCCCCACCCAAAATGTTTCCTGTTTCCGCCGATGCCAGCGTATGCTTGCCAATCAGGCCGCAGACTGGGCGATAAATGCCATGGAAACCCCATCTGGCCGCGGTCTGACCGCCATTTGCGTGATATGCCGCACTTCGCACGCGTGATAAGAGCAGCCGGGCTCCGCGAAATGACGATAGTCACATCCAGGGTCGCAGGGTCTGAACACGCGCCGTAGTGCGTGTTCAGAAGATGTCGCCATGCAAACTTATAATGCACTGAGCAAAGGTTTCCGTAGGCCAAACACGTCAAATGTGTTCTGAGAACCTTTTCTCCTTCATCTCGAACAGCGCGAACCGCATGGCGATGCTGCTGCGCGGCCCGTTGCCGAACCGGCGGCGCTCCTCCTTTTGTTCGCACAGGGAGTAGTCCGGGCCGAGGCGCATCGGAACCGGAAAAAGGCTCCGTCGCGGCACAAAGGCTTGAACAGAGCGGTGTAGACATTGGGGTCCTTGGAGCCACGACTATCTGGACGGAGCAGGCGGGTGCTGCGATTTGGCGGGTGCAGTCCGCGGCGTCCTAAACAGCACCTGGACACAGAAGGTCATCTCCAAGGCGGTCTTAGACGACACCCGACCCAGGTAGGTCATCTCCGAAGCGGTCTTAAACGACACCTCCGAAGCGGTCTCAGACGACATCCGGTCCAGGTAGGTCATCTCCGAAGCGGTCTTAGACGACACCCGGTCCAGGAAGGTCATCTCCGAAGCGGCCTTAGACGACACCCAGTCCAGGTAGGTCATCTCCGAAGCGGTCTTAGACGACACCCGGTCCAGGAAGGTCATCTCCGAAGCGGCCTTAGACGACACCCAGTCCAGGTAGGTCATCTCCGAAGCGGTCTTAGACGACACCCGGTCCAGATAGGTCACCTCCGAGGCGGTCTCGCATGTCATTCGGTCGCCGTGCCGCGCCTACATCGAGTTCCCAATGAACGTTCACAGCGACGATGTCACTGCCGTACTTGACGGAATAGAACATCACGACTTGGCGATGATGTTGCAGCTGCTGAGAACGCGCTGGTTGTCCGCGTCAGCGTTCTCCAGAACCACCTACAGTAAGGTTCTTTAAGCGAGGCCGCGCCCCTCTGGGTAGGCGGCGGTCTTATTGATCACGAGCTGGAAACAATCATCCGCAGCCTTTCTGGGCCCGGCATGCTGTAACTGGTCCACCATGGAAACACGACGAAGGAAACGACGCGGGGCGTGGCGCACGGCGTGAGTGATGAGGCGACATGCAAGGCGATCTCGGCGCCGGGGTCACACAAATGAGTACCCCTGAATCCAGAGCCGCGGGAGGTAACACTGTCGACGGTGATCCGACCATAGGCGTCCTTCCGCCGTACGCCACCCTTGTGATGCATCTCCTCGCACAGGTGTCTGGTGAGATTGGTGGCGTTGTCCAGGTAGGGCTGGTACACGGGCGGCTTCAGCTCGCGGAAGGAGAACATTTGCGACATCACAGCTCCTGCATCCTTTCACTTCCTCTCATTTAGAACGCCGGGGACCTTCTCCGGGCCCTTACAAAGTGACAGGTACCGCCAGCGAGTGGGGTGATCTATGTCCTTGGTGGTGATAGCTCAGATGAGGTTGAGTCGCCATCGTTCATCACCTGATGTCGCCTCCCTATGCAATCACGGTAGGCACTTCGTGGGCTCATGCTCATGGCACAGGCGGCTGTCAAACTCCGTCCTGAGGAATCGCCTCTCATGACCGCGTGTAAAGAAGCCGTGTCCCAGGGGAATTTGGCAGAGCCCTGGCCACCCTCTGTGAAATCCCGTAGTCGTGGTCCTCAGTCTAGTGGTGGTAGCCAGGAGCAATGGTGAACACCATAGCAGTGGCACCGGGCTCAGTGCCAACGGCAGCCAAGTGGTCTGCCCCGACCTGTCCCCCTATTTCACCCCAGCCAGCTGCTCTGTCTGCGTCGACGCTATGCTCCGTTCACATGCTCTGCTTTGCATACCGCCATATTATGCGGAGCACTCGGCGCGCTCTGTCGGCGCGCTGAGGGTGGATTCTTTCCAGTGTTATCAAACATTATTGTGAGGTGAGAGGGCTCGAGCCTCCAAAGAGGGCAGAGTGACACCCCTGACAGGGCGAACCTGGGTGCAAGCGCTCACCGTGGAGCAAGATGGCGTCTTCCAGGGCGGGAGCAAGACCGTTCCTGAAAGAAATAAAGCTCCGTGCATTGCATGAGTGCATGCTCGTTACACACCTGCCCTCCCCACATCGATCACTCACCAGTGAATTAACACCGCGCCTCCTCCCTGCCGCGCCGAGTGAATGAAGTCGTTGCAGCGCGGTATGTACGACAGCAGGTTCTGCTGCGGTGTGTCGGCCGCCGAGATTAATAAATAGTTCTTGTCCTGCAAACATGGCGGGCGGATTCAGGCCGTGCTAACGTTTCCCGACCGGAAAGCTCTACATCGGGCAGGCTCGTTAGTTGGCTCCGCTGTGTGCTGTGGCTGCATGGCGAGGGCCAATCCTTTGGTTCTGGGAAGCAATTCGGCGGGTTTGTTCGATAAGGTGCCTGAGGATCGTTAACGCTAGAATCGCCTGCTTCGCTCGACTTTCCCCGCCACGAAGCAATGATTATATAATTGTGCCGACGCTTTGTGCCCGACGCCATATTCATGGGGTTCTATTTATAAAGAGTGAACATGGTAATGGACGCCCCATGTAGGTACTATTTCGTCGCTTTTGTAATTGGTTGTAAACAATGAGCCATGTCCCTCACCCTTGCGTGTCCTGTACGACCGGCGAAGCTTGTCAACGGCAATATACACATTACAGCAAACACGCGCACGCGCACACACCATAAAAATTAACGCCCGCAATTTGCCAAACGCCGTAGATCTGTTAAAACGGGTGAGTGACACATTACACAGATGCGCTGAAAACTCCAGCGAGGTCGACAAACACTTGGCGATCGATTGCGGGCCACCAGAGCCCCACGGGCTATGAATCATCGAACAAGCTAGCGCCTCTCGGGATTACAGATCGACCGCTTCAAGATGAGTTTACCCCGACGTTGGCACTAACATGGCTTTCGTAAGATAGATACCAAACAGAGGGGCAATGTGTTAAGCTAACAGGAGACGAACATATAAGTAATATGCCAGAGGCGTGGGGCAAGAAGGGTTAAGCATTAAAATGTGACGTATCTTGCCCCCAAAATACGGCAGCAAACTGGCTTCTTCTCGGACTTCGCCCATTTTTCTCTCAAAGTTCGGGGTGGAACTGGAACCCAAGCTGTGTTTGTGACAAGGGGGGGGGGGGGTGATCTGGAGCCCCCCGCCTTCTGTATAGGAGACTACATCAACCCTGGTAAATGCACTTGAACATATTCCGGTAGCATGGGTCGCTGCGTGCTTTGCGAAAAGCGTCAGCAAAACCCGGATCAACAGAGCTAAAATCGATGCAGTGATAACAATGCGAGAACCAAGGAAAACGCCAGTGAATAACGCCTGTCCCACTTTCCTCTAACTACCATTGGGCTGTCGAAACACGTCATCAAATAGAGAAATAGCGGATATGCTGTTTTCATCATTTGTGCCCGTTTACCATGACGTGCGACTGTGTGTTTATCATGACGTTACTTGTTCTTTCTTCGCGCTTCGTGGCAAAACGCGAACCGATGTTGAATCCATCAGTGAAGCATTTATGATAGCCCCCACTGGCAGCTCAATGGAAGTCAGCGACAACGTATTCCACCGCGGTGCGCAAACGCCGAGTTACAAATGACCACATAAAGAAAAAACGCCCCCCAACAATTCTGGCCTTCGCAAGCTTCTTTACGAAGCCGGCTCGTTCTTTCTTCTGGTATCCAGTAGGGCTGAGCACATTAGATATTGATGCAGGACTTGGTATTGATCCGGCCCGTCAGTGAAACATCAATAAATGCTGGGAACTAGCAACCACGCCAACACACCAGCCTCGATCGCAGCTGACCAGCAGTTTGCGCCAGGCGCATGCGCGTGAGCGCCTGGCCGCACAGGCTCACCGAGTTAAAAACAGGCGTCGGGTTTGACCTTGCCCAGTCATACGTTACTTTTTCTGGACGTGGTAAGTGCAGCAGTTAGTGCTTGCAAGGCAACTTTTGCCCTGGCTTTTCAAGCTCTGCAAGTATTACGCAGAGAATGGTGACTGTGACATCCACGACCACGCATGAATGACCGATGCAAACTTACTACAAACCACGTAATACCACCTTAGTTCTTGAAGAAGCTTCGATACCGTTGACGTCCACGGCTGCCGCGCTGCATTTTTCATTGAGGCTGCACTCCTGAAAATCCAGGGGACCGCTGAGATCTATCCTCATAACCGATGTCCGGACGGAGGAATGACGTGCGAATTTGTATGTGTGTCTGAGACAGCCGGCCGTATAGTCGGGATGACTGGGTGAGGGAGGTCGAAGAGGAGGAGACTGAGGGGAGGTGTGAACTCTGGCCTCCCGCGTCCAGAGCTCACTCTCTGGGGGAGAGCCTCAGACGGGGCCAGAAAGCAGGTCCGTGCTGACCTTGTACCATTTCTTGGCCGTGACGTGGACAGCAACGATGTGGGAGATGTTGTTGGTCGACAGCTGCGCCAAGTTCTTGGAGTCCCGATAGCTGCCCACGAAGAGCCCAGGCAGCACCTACGGGGTCAGCAGAGTCGTCACGGCCCACAAAGAGTCCAGGCAGCAACTGCGGGATCAGCAGAGTCGTCACGGCCCACGAAGAATCCAGGCGGCACCTACGGGCTCAGCAGAAAGTCGTCACCGATCGGCGGTTGTCAAGGTGTGCAGTGTGCTACGCTGGAGTGGGCGGCAACCATCCTGCCGCCTTTTCGTTGCGCCGCACCCAACGCCATTCATCTGGATAATGTTACAATTTACTTCCGGGCGTGTGCATGTACCCCTGTGCATGTTGACGACGGCCTAAATCAGCTTCTGACTTCTTCACGCATCTTCCCTGTTGGGCATAATAAATGCTGCCGCAGTTATGCACGGAATATCACGGTGAAGGCGAGCGTGTTATTGAGTCAGAGCCTACCGTTACGTAAATGAGTCGCAGCAACGCAGCACGTCCAGTCTAACCCTCAGCCTTTGTGCATCCCACACGCATGCCGGCATTGTTCTGCGCCAGCCTGCCGGAAAGGAGAGCCTGATGCCCCTCCCCCGGGCCCTATTTACGTGTCTTCGTGCCCACAGTCTTCTGCCAATTGCCCTCGGTAGTCTTGCGGCATGAGGCTCAGGGTTTGTGGCTGAGACGGGATGGCTGGGTTGGACATTTATGGCCGACATATGCGCGTGAGGCTCTTGGTCTGTGGTTGGGGTGGATTGGCTGCGCTTGATGTTGTTGGTCGGAAAATCCTCCTGGCTCCCGGATTTCCGGTATTCCCGCTTGTTAGTGTTTTTTTAACGGTAAGTGCTCTTTTAATGGTTTTTCTTTTGATGGCATAACCCTGAAACGGCACATACCCTGTGAAACATTTCATAAAAGTCACAGCAAACTAAGCAACGCATGCTCATCTCCGTTTCATCCGAACCACTGTCGCTGCACATGACCGTCGAATCCCCCCCCCCCCCCCTAGGGTTGCTGGACCCATCGGTGATAATTGTGAGCGTGTCATCAAAAGCTCGCATGGTGGCCACAGCGCGGTCCCAACCTGTTCTCATCATGCGGAGTGCGTTACAAGGCTTCGGTCCTCGGAGCCCCTGGCTGAGCTGCTGGCTAAATGACGACACCGTTTAGCTCCACCGGCAAAGCCTGTGTGCCCGAGCTGGCGGACGGAGCGGTGATGACGGCACGTGTTTGGCGTGCCGAGAGAAAGTCTCTGGTGTCCGGCAAACGCTCCTTGTCTGGCCGGACAGCCGCTGCAGAGTGTGTGCTCGAGGAAAACGACCCCACGCCGGCCAAAGCACGTGACGCCAGGTCAGGTCAGAGCGGGTCAGGTCAGAGCATGGGTTCACCCAGACGACAGATGGCAACTGGAGAAGCTCTGAGAGCTGATTTGCGAATGTTGTTTACATGACCACACCGGAATTGTCAGCTACTGACGCAGTTCAGAAACAGCAAAGCATTGCGAAGAAAGTGGGGGCACCATTCTTTCAAATGCGTTTGGTCTATGCCGTCTGGTATGTTCTATATAAGTTTTCATGGATATCGATGCGCGATTTGCAGTCGATCGCAAAATAAAATGAGGGTACCTAGTGTGTCCTCAAATATCATACTGAATACTATGTCCGCTCGCATCTCTAAGAGCAATTCAGCATTCACAGCTGGTTAAAATGTTTAGAGCTATCAACAGGGTTTGCGTTTGTATTTGCCGTCCAAGCGGAAGTCTTCGTTCAAAAAAGCAGCTTGTCATCTCGAAAAAATAAAAAAAAGCGCCTCAAATTTTGTCACTTTGGCGCTCCGTCTTCGGTCATAATGTCATGAACTAGAGTGCTTTCATGATGGCCGTACTATTATCGCTTATTCACTTTCCAAGCGCCCATGCTAAGGCCAAAGTTTTGCAGAATCATTTCCGCTGAAACAGACATTCCGTACCAAACATTAAAGCATCAGAAAGATCACAAGAGTCTGCCACAGTTTTTGCGTAACATATATGCCTAGCAACTATCAATGCTATAGAAGAGTGCAATCCCTCTGAAAACCTAACTTAAAAGGTCAATCACAACCAGCATTGCAGCGATTCGCTGTTTAGCCGATCCAAAGAAATGACGGGAACCGTGGGACAGAGGGCGAGCATTTTCACCGACAGGCCGCCAAGCGAAGACGGTGTGTTATAAAATAATTTAGGGCCAAAGACCAGAATTTCTCAAAACACGGTCCGTTGCAGCTCTTGTGTTTTTGAGGGAATCTGGGTGCGACGTAAGTTAACACCGAATCACTGGAACTACTGCACCTCATATCCTAGAGCCGCCAGACTCCAGCCACGCTGCCGCCATGCATATCCATGTTCGCCGCTTGGCTAACGGCCAGGAGGACCGCGGACGCTACTCTTCACGCTGGCCGCCGCTTTCCGCCCGTTCGATGAGCCCGATCGCCAAAGATGGCCTTCCATGTCCGTCTTCCGGCCAGCGCATTGTCCGACGTCGCCCCGCCTCTGGACCGGAAAATGCAGATGCGGCCGTGATGACTAATGGGCTCGTTCGTCATTTCCAGTAAGGCGGCCGGAGTGGCCGCTGGTCGAACACGCCCATTACGGAGACAGCGCGAGTGGTGCGTCAGCGTCGGCCGGCCGCCCCTCGCGGAAGCGCTGCCAGATGCGGCATTTAGTGCAACGTGACGCGCCATTTCCGCCGGAGCGATTAGGGCAGGCGGCGAGTGGACCTGACGTTTTTTCTTGGGGGGGGGGGGAGGGAGGATGGAAACCGTGAATCAGCGGATCCAGAAGGGGAGGGGGAGGCGGCCCGAGTCATGGGCCCCGAACACGGCCAAAGTCGGGTAAAAGCTGACACAAGTCTGGCCTTCAATGAAAATCTCAGCAACGTTCGCTAAACGAAATTGTTTTAGAACGCCTTTTGGAGCAAAACAAAAAAAAAACTGAGCAGTTTTTAAAAATCAGGAAGCCATTTTGGACTTCATCCGCTTCGAATGGCCATTTCCCTTTCCCCTCCCCCCCCCCCCCCCAGATGGTGTTTTACGTCCACCCTTGCTTTGAAGGCTGCCTCAATTTCCACGGCTCAAGCGCGGCTCCTTTGACCCCAGCGGAGTACACTTGACGGCCATTAATTCCAGGAATAGAGGCACAGGGCATAAATTGCAAGCATCCCAACATTTGCATTGAAAATGCATGCCAAATGGATGCAGTTCCGCGTTATCTGTGCCTCAATGTGTAGGTACATGCAGTTGGAGCATGTAGAGCGATTCTAAAAAACATGGGTCTCCCCATACCTAGCGGAGTTTGGAGTGGGGCTGTCTCTGTGGAGAAGTTGTAACTGGAAGTAGTCTATGCGAAAGGACACGTCTGCAACGTGAGTCTTCCTCACACATTATGTTTCCCTTTCCTGAGGACACCCAGCTAAGATGTTGCATGAACATCACACCCGGGGACCGATGTCGCACACATGTAATTTTCCTAGTGCTTTATGCTCATGCTTTATGCTTTACTACCACGGTGCGTCAGCCAGCACCAAATCATTATGATGATTTGGTGCTGACCGAGAGACCACCATCATCATGATGGTGGTCTCATGCTACCATCATCATCATGGTAGCATGAGACCAGCGCCCCAGCTGGCAGTGTCAGGACGCTACCGAGATCCGAAAATATCGACCTGCATTGTGTTGAAAATTGATGTCAGTTCCGATGCCACTCAAACCTGGTCAGCTCTGAACTGCAGATTTCAAGGCGTCTCAACTAGTGCCAGAACGGCACCCTGTACAACGTTTTTTCTCCTAAGTTTGGTCCCAACATTTGGATGAGATTGTTTTCTAGGCTTAGAGCACAAGCTAAGCAGCACTTGTTGTGAGAGCCCTGCTCCAATCGTTATTGAGTTAAGCAGCTCTCAACTAAAGGGCTACGATATTCCCGAGATAAGTCATATTCTGCATTTCAGACAGGGTAGCCAGCCTCAGAAAAGACAGACAGAGGCAACCAAGGACCGACGCCTGCCGTGGAGTCAATAACAAGACGGTCTCAAAGCCGGGAAAATGAATCTTTAGCAATTAGTCCTGACTAAATGACGTAAATCAATATTTGGAAGCTAACGTGACATTAGGATCAACACTCAAATCCTCCTAAAACCCAGGTTTGGGCCGGAATAATGCTGGAAATCATGAGGGAGCGGGAGTAAATATTGTCACTGGCCGCCGTTTGCACTTTCCGCTGGAGTGCAAGCGCACGCGAAGGGCAAGGAAAGGCTTCCCAACCTTTCGAAAATGGTAAGACGGGGGTTGAAAGACAGTTCCAAAGCCGTCCTGTCCCCAATACTGCATTGGCTTCCGTGATCCCAGAGAAAGCTTCCTTGATCTTGAACCTTTTCGACCGCATTGCTGATCTCAGCTCGACATCCAAGATCCGCACTCGATATTTAAGCCACACAAATGCATCAAAGCATCTTACAGCGCCGGGGGGCCGACCTCGGCCAGTTTCAGTCGATTCGTCTGAAACTCCGGACACGTCGCGTCTGTCTTCGGCGGGCGCAACGGCCGCGGCGCGACGTCCGACTCATTACCAGCCCTGTGTCGGCCACACCGAACGCCGTCCGACATGAATATTTAATGAGGCCCGGGACGGTAACCGGTCCGAAGTGTCGCTCCCGACGACGTATCGTCGAGCTCGCGTCCAACCCTGAATGGTCACTGCCCCCCGGGTCAGAGCGGAGGGGGGGGGGGGGCAGTGCCCGCTTCGGGTCTGAGCCGCACATGGTACACGCACAGAGCGCAGCGCCTCGCGTGCCGCCAGCCGTGATGGACGAGCTGGTGAGGTGGGGGGAGCGCACGCCACCCTGCTGCTCGGGCGCGGCACCGGCTTCGCGCTCTTGGATATATTGTGCAGCAGTGAGGCTGGTGCAAATTATGTTGACGCCAGTGCCACATGTAGTTACATGAAGCAGGTAAATGGAGTGGCCTTGAAATAGTTTTAGTAAATCGTGACCGAAAATGTAAATAATTTTAAGCAGGTGAACTACACGATCCAGGCATT